CAGGTGTGATAGATATCATGCTGATGCAACTCCAAGCATGATCTGAACCCATCAAGTCCGATATGTGTCCAACTGTCGCCTTTGATGACTCTTCCACCAAAAATGGCTGTCGCTTCTTACCTGCATTATGCACTCACTAATATATATATATACAGTATTAATTATATATATATATCTATCTATATCGACCAAAAACCCAAGTTGATTTCCCTGTGATGAACTTCGAACCGCTTGGAAAAGCCATCTCCTGGAATTCCACATGGCATTGCTGCAGCCCATCTTGAACACAAAGCCCGTCCGAAAACTCAGGTGGCATATCTGAGTACATAATCCTTAATCAAATTTGAGCCATCATATCATATGATATGATATCTGAATCTGCATGTCATCATAATTCTCCAACCTGAAGCCTGTTCCCTCAAAATTCCCCCAATCCAACTCCCATCATTCCGACAGCGTGTCAGTTGGGTAATGATAAACCATCAAATTATGATCAGAAACATAAGCCTCTATTTTTATGTTGGGTAGTAAGCATGTCCATACTCATTGATCATTGGTAACTCATCATAGGTGACAATAGATAATCCCCATGAATTTGGGATAGTAACACGTCACATTGATCATTGGAACCATAGTGCTTAGTAAAACAATAATAAAACACTTATATTTTGATGGTTTATACCAACCATTTATATCCATTTATGGTAAAATTTGGGATGGTTTACTATTGCTTTCCTCACATTCTGTTGGATATACAACCCAAAAAACTGCTCATCAACTGACAGGGCCGCTTTTTTGGCGCCCCAACAGCAACGCCATCACCCTGGCGATAGCTTGTTGCCTCGGAAAGCCGCTGCCAATGTGACCATTGAAGGGGTCAGATGGAACCCCACCTTCACACCCAAGTTGGTATTATCATGGTGATGTTACGCGCAAAATGAGGCCAAATACGGCCACATACCCGCGGTTTCAATAAATGGAACTGCACCATAGACCGGACGATTGGTCTAGCGGTCTAGCGTCTCCACTCCTTGGTCTAGCGGGGCTTCACCACTGTGGAGTTCACATTTCCGGTCGTCCCAAAATGGGGTACACCCATTTTTGGCCAATTTCCATGGGGAAATGGATTTACAAAACCCATTTCAAATAACCGAACAAACCACCGTGTGGGAAAAAATCGAAACCTGGAACGAAATTCAGTACTCGTCCCACAGAAAAAAGTATGTCCTACTTAAACCATCACCATGCAAACAACATATTACCCCTCCCCAAAGCCACCACAAGCCAAGCCATAGTGAGTCCTAGCTAGAGACCATTAGCATACTCAGTCGTACCTAAAAAACAATTATGCAAGGATTGTATGATGATATCCGTAGATGTATCTCCAAAAATGATATACTACATTGATTCTCCATGATTATTTTTGTGAAGATCGAACATGACTGTCACAAAAAAGATATCACAGTTATCCAAATACGATTGTGTTTTTTTTAATCATACTGTAGATGGTTAGATGGTTCAGAAATCCTATGGATCCACCTTTTGATCCTGGGTTTTCATGGGATAAACCACCCATGGATCAACCAGGATTTCGCTCAGCTCCTTGGGATGCCGTACTGATCCACAGGCTTGGACTGAGCCGAATGGATGGCAATCCTGGGACAAGTCGAAAGAAACGTCCAAATGCTATTAAACTCATAATGATACATATACATATATATATACATGTGTATGTATTTATGTATGTATGTATGTATTTATGTATGTATGTATGGATGGATGGATGTAGAATGTATGTATATAGGTGGAGGTCTTCTAAAATGGGGTGTGCCCCCAGTTTAATCCAAGACAAAACCATTTTATTATTGCAACCTATGGTTTTTTGGGATCCCCCATTTTAGGAAACCACCATATATGGTGACCAATATCAACATCAGTAAATATGTGTGATGTTATAAGATAAATATAATGATACATAATGGCTTGTATTTAAATGATAATGTTAATCATATAACAAAATGATAACATAATGAAATATATAATGACAATAATTATAATCAAAATGATAGACCTATAAAAATATATATATATGTTAAATAAAGCAATATATGCAACAAATAATGATACGTGTTAAAAGGTAATCTAAGATCATCTAATGTCATCATTGATTCAATTGATTGATGGTTGATGATGGTTGTTAAAACAACTTTGAAGCGTATTTCATTGATGCTAATAAGCATTGATGCTGCCTAAAAAGAAAAAGAAACACAGACATACCCTCTGGTAAACTAACAGTTTGCTATAGAAAATGGCCCAGTCGAAATAGTTGATTTACCCCAAAATCGTAGCATGGTGGATCTTTCCACTTCGTTATGTAACAAATGGCCAGATGGTGTCATCAGAGGGACCCTCCGGTGTCATCAGCTCCATGATTATTTTGATGGATCCATATCCACTATATCCACTATTAGGCAGAGGATATGATTATTATTATTATCGAATATGATCCCTATCCAACAATATATCCATTATTATGGATATGGATTCATTCCACTATTCTAGCAATTTCTTGCCCATATTCCAGGGCCGAACATATTCCATGCCAAAATAGCTGGGAAATTTCAGGGAATTGCGAAGACCCCTTTCAGGTGAAATTTGTATTTCATACAGTTTGCCAAGTACTCCTTATCTTCTGGCACGTACGTTGTCGACTGCACATGTTCTTCCGCAAAGAAGATCCTTACTTTCAACAATTTCTGGAAATGTCATAATTAATAATGTTGAGCTTTCCAAAAATGGATTAATAATGTTCTTATGGGAATTTGTCATCTACACTTTTCAGGATCTCAAAACCCAATTCATAAGCTTTAAGCTTATGTTCTGGCACGCTTGGCTGGCATTTCACCAGCAGCGCCATCCCCATCTTTCTTGACATCTTTGTGGCCCCGCAAAGAGCCCTGCACAACAGGATCTCGGAACACAAATCATCGACGATCCTGTTTTCTTCCATGCAAACTAATTCCACCGATAGAGTACGATGCCACCCCTGGAGTGCGCTAATTTTCTGGAATGCGAAAATAAAACAGTATGCGTGGCCCCCTTCGACCTTCCCCATGGATCCAACACCAGTTTTTTCCATCATATACCAGAAAATTATCACATTTCACCCTGCTGAGCTTTTTTTTTCTTTTTTTTTTGTTTGGTCATTTTTGGCCAAAATGGCCTGGAATGCGATAGTATGTGAAACTACAGACGTCTCACGCGAAACCGCTACCTTGCCCATATTCCAGAAAACGTGATTCCAGGCGATTTTAGCCCAAAAAAAAAAACGAAAAAAAAAAAACGCAAAAAACGAAAAATCACCGAGTACGAAGATTTTATGGAGTGCGAAGATCTTGCAGAGTGCGTGGATATTATAGTATGTGCACGTCCCTAGCTGTGGAGTGCGATGCCCTCGCTGGAGTGCGAAGAATTTGTGGAATGCGAAGAATTCCGAGTATGCGTGGCTGGTATAGAGACCACATAGGGAAATTTCGGGGCCAGAACCAAAATTCCAATCCCAAAGCCAGCCCAAACTTCCAGGGGCACACCAGTGGGTTCTATTTTTCCGAGTTCACCTTGGGTGAGGCCCCGGGGAAGAAACTTTCTAATTTTTACTCAGCCAACCTTTAAAAACGTTACCCTTGACAACCCTGTCCTTCTTCGGTAGACAAATGAAGAAACTTCCTTATCAAAGCAGCCTTCAATTCACTCAACGTCCACAGCTGCTTTGGAACGACATAGGGGATAGAAAGCTGTGGAGGGGCATTCAGTGGATTCGCCGTGGCCCAACTGTTCCCTCCAGATTGAGCTGAAATGCCTATCAAAAGTAACATACCAAAACCCAGGTCTGGAGTACGATGAAAACATGGTATGCGAAGATTTTCTGAATATGGGAATGTTGCCTCTAGAACTATTATTATTATCCCTATCCAACTAGATGGTGGATTTTCCAGCAAGCCATGGAGCTGATAACCAGAGGATCTCATGAATATTCCACGATTATCCCACTATTGTCCCTCGTAAATCTAATATAAAAAGCATATTAAATTATTAAACACGCCATTCTTAGCCATGATTGTAGCTATTGAACCATACTTAAAATAGACAAAATCATTCGGGATTCAACCATCATTCTTAGACCACATGATTTCCTGTTGATAAGCCATGAAAAACGATCAGTCCAAAAAAATAATCACTAAGGAGACGCCCACTGAAAAACACGGCGTGCATCCAGATCAGCCTGGCAATTTAACAGTTTGCTATGGAAGCCACGGACCATTTAGATCCAATAAATTACCTATCATCATAATGATCTGGTTGGTATACCTACCCCTCTGAAAATATGAGTTCGTCAGTTGGGATTACTATTCCCAATAGATGAAAAAAAAATGTTCCAAACCACCAACCAGTAATGGACTCATCATGTCTTATAACCAGATAAGTTTCTTCAAAATTAGTTGGTTGATAAACCCAAAAGTTTTTTGCTAAACTATTTGGGGCTGACTAAAACCAGACCTACAATAGTTGGTTGAAAAGAAACACATGAATCATCCAATATCTGGCGTCCTTTTTCATAGAATTCAAGTGGACAAATAAACCAACTGAGCTGTCGTGTCGGGGTCCCACCTTGTAGTACAGTACACTCTACTTTCATGTGGGACACGTAACAGTGGGCATATCCGGCAAATAAACCTTGGCGTCTCCTGTCACTGTATGACCGACCGAAAACTGAACGAATACTCAGAAGGTTCTCAAACTCACCCTGGTACACAAATGACCACCTACTTCTATTGAGAAGTGCATGTCCGGTGCCACTTGCCCTTGTTGGAATCCGCAAAAAACCGTGTTGGGATTTGTCCGCTCAAATCATCGAGTGGGGTCGGGGTTGCCAGTTCCTATCATCTTGACCCCTCGCCATTCGCCATTCGCCATTCGCCATGAAAACGGCACGCACTTTTTCAGCTTCGATGGCACAGGGCACTCCAAGCGGTTTTTGGATCCTGGCCAAGCCACAATCCAATGTGGATGTAAACATATATGAAGATATGTGTAAAGGTATAAAGATTATTCACGGTTTTTGTGGATTTCTATAAAGATATATAGAGCAACAATTATGGGGATATGATTTGATATGTATATATATAATGGTGATATAATGGAGGATGAACAACAAGTGATATGTTTGGGTATACTCAACCACAAACAACCACAACATGGCGAATCTTCACCCTCTATTTGGCATGTCACCGAAATGGGATGGCTGGCTGAACCCCCATGATGAAAAGTGAGATCTGAAGCACTACAGCAGAATGTGGGAAGATGACTTTCCGAAGCAGGAAATGTGCAATTACAAGATCTGAGTAGTCCTACCAGGTCCTGAATGATAATGTTGGTAATGACTTTCCAAGACCTGAAGCACAAAGAACCAGGTCCATTGTAATTTTCAGGGAGCGACTACTAGCTCCTAGTAGGAAATTTGTTCATTAAGTTTCCCAGGGCTGCTAAACCTCTACTGGCTGATGAGTATAGGGAGCTGTACTATCCAACATTATCCAACATAATTACTATAGTTCAATATGTTTACTATCATATATTGAAAATAGCATCTTCAATAACCATAGCTTTATGTTTTAGTTCAACACTGATAGTTTTGTTGAAAATGATCAATGGCTATTGAAATGTTTACTATCCAAACTATTGAGGATTATGTTTCTGATCATCATTTGATGGTTTATCATGATCCAACTGATAAATGTTTACTATCAACGCATTAGTTCCTAGATAAATGAGCAATAGTTCAACGAACCATATCGAACCATAATAGTAATTTTCCACTATGGATTGTTATGGAACCACTATAATATTAACTATTCATTGTTCATTATCATCATCCATGAACAATCAGGTTCTTCACAGGGACACCACGGACACTTCGCTCTCACCTTCTTGGCCAGGGAAAGCGTGATGCGCTTACCAACACTGAGCCGCACCTCCGCATGTCTTTGTTGATGATTTCCACGGATTCGGGCTGGGTAGCCAAATGTGTTTTCCGGGTTTTTTTCATGTTTCTGGGTGGTGGTTTTGACCATCTTGAAAAATATGAAAGTCAATGGGAAGGATTATCCCATATTATGAAATGGAAAAAAGTTTGAAACCACCAACCAGGCTTTTTCATGGCTGGTTTTCCACCAGATATGGTGATTGGTTATCCTAATCAAATATGCTATATCATGGGAAAACTCATGAAGCGTTCCATGGTATCCCCGTTGCCAAAACAGGATGTTGGTGAACATCAGAGATAAGATTGCCGCATGTTGGTTAAACCCTGCCAGCTGATAGCGGTTGTGCTGTTCAAACTTCTGAAAACTCAGCACATAGATAGTGGTCATAGAGACTTTGAAAATCCTACTCCAAATCCATTGTTGGATTCCGCGGTGGCTTAGGGGCTAGCCCGATTGGATTGGGCGGGTAGAACAAGCATTGGTAACAATCAAGCAGGAGCCAACAGTCATCCTTGGTGAACAGTCATCCAGTGTCCTCCTGTTTGAGCAATGCAGATATCACCAACAGAATTGGAATATTTTCGCATCCACCCTTGGAATAGAGCAGGCAATCCGGGAGGCTCCAATACCCCTTAGTAACCATCGTGAGGTTCATGATTCAGCCACTTCAGGGTAAAAAAAAAGTGGCCTCAAACCAGACGATATTTCAAGATCACCATTGAGCTGGTGACCTTTCTTATCCCTCAGCTGCAAAAAGGTTGCTGGCTAGATCTTGGGTCAAATAAAAAAGAACTGAAATATACAAAGAAACCAAGTTCCTTCTTGTGGCTAGTGATCCATGTAGATTGTGTGATTCCACGAAGCTCAGGTGGGTGGTGAACCTCGAGTGGTACTTCACAAGCCACGCCCAGATCTATCACCTGTCTAAGGATAGCGGTTGTGTATCCCCGGACCTCAAGTGAGCTTGTATATCCCCTGCCCCAAAATCTCTCCCAATCAAAAATCCCCCGAAAAAAAAAAAAAAACTGTCTGTGTTCCCATCATATCCCAGGAAATTTCCCAGGAAATTCCCCAGAAAATTCGCGTGGCCTTGCACTTCTCAGGCAGCACCTCCTGCAGAAGGCCCAGGATCCTCAACTGGAACTGTGGGCCATCGGAACGAACCGTCCTTGGAGCGGCATTTCCTCTCCGGTGCCCCACGAATTTTGGGGGGGTGGATTGTGTTTTCTGAAACCAGAAGATATATATGTGCATATAATATATATATATATATATAATTATATTTATTTATTTATTATTTATTTATTTATTATTTATTTTTTTTCACCTATTTTTATTGTCATTTTTAATTTTATTTATTTATTCATTTATTTGTTTTATTTATTATATTTAGGGATACCGTGGTTGATTTGATGAAGTAATCAATTTGATTTTGTCGAGATTCCGGGAATTCGTCACCACGAGTTCTGGGGCTGGGTGTTGTTTTCTGAAAGCCAAACAGCTATAGTAATGGTGTAGTAGGGATACTGACATGAACCAACAAAAATGGTGACTCAACTAAATAGAAATGCGACTTTATGGGGATATAGTGAGGATCTAGTGGGAACGTAGTGGGGTTCTGTTGAGGTTTGTGTAATCAACTTCATCTGAGGCTTCCTAGAATGGGAGAACCCCAAGTTAGCATCCAAGTCATTTGGCGTAATGTTCATGACGCCACAAAAATGATCAAGGGTATCCCAATTTCGAAAATCACCAATATAGGCATCTCACCCATCTTAAATACCCGGGAAAAGTCATGACATGTGTCGCTGGGTGTTGAATGGGCCAGACATGGCCAGACCATTCATTGACCTTGTTTTCTGGTTTAAAGCCACTTTTAATGCCCAGTATCATCCCAACGATGACCTCGCTCGGCTATGACCCCAGTGAAACACAGGTGGTCCAAATCTAAACACCATGAAAATCTGGGATTTACCATGGGATTTTCCCCTCCGTTGGTGATCCATCTGGGAATTTACCATGGGTTGCCCTATTTACAGACAAAGCCAAAAAATTGCAGCTCCATCTGCACTCCAATCGCTTCAGCGGGGGCCAACTGCCAGTGATATGCCAGTGATACATAGGAGGCTCAAGGCACACTCCAAGGGTCAAAGCTTCGGGTGATGAATTTATGGACCATTTCATGGTCAAAAGATGAAAGTCCTTGAGGATGGTCGGATTCTGGAATTTCTGGATGATGTAACGCCGTCAGCAGCAGATCTGTAACTACTAAAAGAACAAACAACACACGCGACATATCTTGAAGTTGGTAAGTGGGCAGCAATCCGAATCCCTTTCAAGAGAGAACCGGAATATCTGGATACCCCAATCAAGGAATCTTTGTTTGCTGACCAGTACCCTTACACCTTTAAGCAATAGTGACAGAAAAACCAGGCGATCCACACTTGGTCTGTAAAAAGGGTACCCCGAAACTTCCGGTGAATCACCATCTTACCACAAAAAAAAACACATGTTTTCCTGAGATAAAATCACATTTTTGGGGGGTATACCCTCTGGTAATTTGTTACATTTTGCTATTGTTTCAATGGCCATAGAAATAGTTGGTTTACCCATTAAACATGCTGATTTTCCAGTTCATTATGTAAACGTTTGCCAGAGGGTATCAACCATTGTCAACCATTGTCAACCACTATCAACCATTATTAACATTATTAACCACTATTAACCAGTTATTGGACTTATAATCCAACCTTAGTTCAGAGGGTACTTCATGCTCAGAGACATCGAGTTCCTCCATTCCTCCACCGAGGGTCAGTGTAAAGCCTCGAGGCTGAAAGTCGACCGAAAGGAGGCATCCAGCAGACCCAGCTGCGGCGACGGCAGCGGGATTGGAACTTTCGCTGATGTAGACCTTCAGCACTTCTCCTGCGGCTGTCTGGGACCTACCCGGCCTGGGAAACGTTTACAGTTTGCGAACTGGAAAATCACCATGTTTAATGGGTAAATCAACTACAAATGGCCATGTTCAATAGCTATGTTAAATTATCCACAGGACGAGGGTATGGCCCGCAGGGCCATACCCGAGAGTGGAGCTAGCAACCCATTGGTTCCATCATCCCAGGTGTTTTCCCATCATATCACTTCGTGGTAAGCCGCACCGCTGCCCATCCAACCTTCATCGGTCCAGGAGTACTTTTCAATCGGCACCTCAGTTGACCGTTGGACTTGCGATGTGCCCAGTGATGTGAACGTTTGTAGAAAAAAAACAGTAACTGTAGTTATATGCGCGAGATCCTCTCATAAGCCGTTGGAAAAAAAACTACAGTTATAATTACAAATATATATATATACTGTAATATACTGTAAATATCATGAAGCCTAGTTATTGGAGAAAAATGTTTGCGAACTTAGCTATGTTTTTTAGCCCAACTTTGTGGGAACTGCTGATGTGCAGGAGCCAGGATCGTATTATCACAACCAGTATAGCTAAAGATAGCTGTGATTTTTCCCAAATCGTGATGGATCACCCTTCCATGAACTTCCAATTTCTGTACATCGTGTTCACCATGAAAATTGCGATTTGGCTGTCAAGCCCGGGTTCATTGGGGGGTTACTCGAAATGGATAAACTACTCTTAGAATTGGTACTACCGTGTCAATCAACAGTTTATTCATCAAGGGTTTACATGACCACATCTTCATATAATTATATGTATACATATCCATACATATATAATATTATATATATACACATATCAAATGCTTGCGTGACCTTTCATACTTTTCCAGCATTTGTCGCATGGATGTTTTCCTAAGTTTCACAAGCCAGAAATAGCGGACGTCTTATCTTGCTGGCGTCCCACTTCCCACTCTATGCAGAAAAATCTTTCCAGCTTGACCCAAAAAACTCAAGCACATTCTGCTGTTGGTTGCTTCAAGCGCACGTCTTTGCTGGTGATTTCTTGCTGAAAAGCCCAAGAAATCCAGGTGACATCTCCAGATTTTCCATCTGGAATCCTTGTTTTTGCTACTAAGCTCCTCATTTTTCCTGCTAAAATCCAGCCTTTTTTCCCAAGTCCCCAGTTTTCCCAGGCGAAACCCAGCAGCTGAGTAAATTTATAGGTTTGGGCCGGGAGCTGGTTAATGCCATCTATCATCATTGACCTGTTAATAACGGGTTTCTTCAAACCCCTCTAAAATTCATCAACCAACTAACCAACCAATGGGAAGAAGGACATCTAGTACCCCGAGTTATCATAAAAACCATCCAGGAAAGCCTTTTTGAATAGGGGAAAACAAAAACCATCCCCTAAAGGACAACTACCATCTGGTTCTGGCTGACATAGCCATGGAAAGATCCACCATTTTTAAGTTCGGTAAATCATCTATTTCTATGGGCCATGGCTTCCATGGCGAACTGTTAGTCATAACCAGAGGGTAATAGGATTTTCCCGAAAAAAACAAACCATCCAGCTCTTGGGGTATCCAGGAAAGCCCCAGGTGAACCCCCCTGGCATTTTGGGCTCGGCACCACTTGGGCCTCGCCCACGTCCAGGACTGCCAGGGCCCAGGGGTCCGGCAGATTGCTGAGTACATCCTGACGCCACTGGTGGGGAAAAATCTTTGGCCAATCCAATTGATGGTGATTTTTGTTGGTTTTATGTGGTTTAATATATGGTTTAATGTATGGTTTTATATGGTTGAATATGGTTTATATGGCCAATCCAAACTTGTGGTTTTCGACCAAACTAATCACAATTCACTATGGTTTTATATGGTTGAATAATGTTTGATAGGGATAATCATCTGATATTTATGGATTGACTAAAATTTAGTTGATACAAGATGGTGGCCCCCCAGTCAAAAAAAGGTTTTGGAACCAGCATTACATATAGATATATATATATATATGTACCATATATCATATCTACCATATATCTACCATAAATCCAAGTTATTGGAATTATTTGCACAAATTTAGCTAACAAACTGGAGCACCAGCTTGTACCCACAATGTAGAGATAGACATAGCTATTGATGTCCATATGAGGATTCATCAACTTGGATCAACCTGGCTGAACAAATAAGTATAAGTGATATGATCCAGCAACCAGCTTCTTGGGATTTGTTGACCAAAATGTTTAGGTAGAAGATAGCAACCTTTTATGGGAATGATCACCTTACTAGGTCACCGTGGTCAATGGGAGGTGCTGGGAGCCCTGGTCATCCGATGTAACTTGGGAATCCTTGCGTGGCGTTCAATGAGGCTACTCATTGAAGCTGGATGGTGACTTTTTCACGGAAATTCCCAATCTAATAGCTGGATGATAACTGGAGTACCCCCATGACTTAGGAAACTTCCATATACCCTCCAGTAAATTAACAGTTCGACCCTGGCATTCATCGGGGTTGGAAGATTAGTTTCTATCAAAAAGTTGTTATTTTCAGGGTCCAACTGTTAATTTACCAGAGGGTATATCCCGAAATAACCAGATTTATTCATCACCATCCCCCAGTTATCCCATATAAATCCCATCAAACTTCCAACCATGACACATGTCTCATGGCAACTGGATGCACCATGGGACAGCCAACTGGTGTGAAAAACAACCTGGGAAAATGTGTTACCCTCTGGTAAACATACAAAAAACTATGGAAAATCACCATGTTTAAGGGGAAAACTCACTATAAATGACCATTTTCAATAGCTATGTTAAATAACCAGAGGGTAACCTGGGATCAATGTGAACCCCTCAGCTGTTGATCATTGGGCGGGTTTACTGTACCGTTTTGAGAGCGCAAGTGAGAAATCATCAAGTTGGACGGCATTTTAAACAACCCAAGGTTTGCTTATTCCAGGGTTGACATTATTGGTCAATGTCCCCATATGATGTGGCATATCCCCATGATTCCCAAACTGGGCGTAGAAATTGTGATGACCTTCCTTGCGACTACCATCATTTCAGGGGTAAATTCCAGCTCGCCAAAAATAGGGATCATCCCAATTTGGTCAATGAAGTAATCCATATTTTTGATGATTTTCTTTACAACGAAAAATATCAACAAGAATGTCCTTTTGGTAAAAATACCATCTACCATCATTTACCTGTTAAAGGAGTTTCTTCAAACCCCTCTATTAATCAACCAACCAATGGGAAAAAGACGTCTATGAATATCAAGATATTCAAGAAAACGTGGAGGAGTATAGCAGATTTTTTGGCCACGGGGTGAAATTGGAATGATTTGGCTATGAGTAAAAATCTTGGGACCCTAAGATAGCTGGTCAATGGATGTTTATTCCCCCAGACATATGGTAATAATGCGTGTTGACCCATCCCCACCTTCCTTCTCAATCATTTATGTCATTTATGAGGCTTGGCTGACCTTAGAACTCAATATTCAAGACCTGAACATGAAGGAAGTTTCATCCAGACATTTCTAAAGGTGAAAACCAAGCTGTGCTGCTTGGCTGCCAGTGTTGATCCCAACAAGTCAACCACGACATATCGAAGACATACCCTCTGGTAAACTAACATAGCTATTGAAAATGGGCATTTATAGTGAGTTTTCCCATTAAAAATTGTGATTTTCCATAGTTATGTTAGTTTACCAGAGGGTATCATCATGTATGGTCTAAAGGTTCTAAAGATTTTAAGGCTAAACATCTAGCTGCAAATGGCAACCGTATCCATCCTGTTCTCGACATTTGGAATATGCGTGGCAGTTGTTTCAAGCAGCACAAACTGGAAAGTCACCCACAAAGTCCTGGGCTTTGACTCCCAAATGAGCAGTGTTCAAAACCCTGCCAATCCATCAAAAACTCGGCTGGCTAAGAGGGATTCCCAGTTCACAGATAATGAGAATCCTCAGCTACAGTATTGGGAAGTATAACCGCCAAACAAGTCCTTAACCAACCCTCATTTAACAATGATATCCCCAATATTTGTCATGGTTTATATGATATCCTATATATATATATGATGTTGAATTCAATTTCAACCTCTATCAAATACTCTCCTGTAAATTGTATAACATAGACATAGAAAATAGCCAAGTTTGAGTGTTTCCACTCATCTTTTACTTTCATGTGCTTCAGAAACTCCATTCATAGCTCCAACTGGCTCCCCAATTTTTTGCTGGCAACATGAGGGGTTGGTAAATGTCCTAATTGAACATCACCCAAATATTGGGGATATCATCTCCAACAGATACTTGAAAGTCATGTTCAAAATCCCCAAAATGGGACATTTACCAAACCCTAAATGTGGATACACTCCCAATCGCTCCGGTCTCCCCAGGTTTTCGTCACGGAAGTCGCCTCAACCTGTGACCCCTCAACGCTGGCACGCCGCAGCTTGCCTCTGGGCCGCTCTAACCTAGGCAGCACATCGTCACCAAGGGTCTGGTGAAGAAATTGGGGTTACACAGTGAAATCCAGTGATTTTGCGGACATCCAGAGGGATTCTTGCTGGATTCATAAAGTGGATATGTGATGATATATCATATCTACGAATCGGTTGTACAAATAACTTAGCTTAAGTTGCTTTACGAATCCCTGCAATTGTAGATAACCCCCAAATCACAGACTGACGAAATAGGGTTCTTAAGCCTATAGAAATACTTGCATGTCCATCCTAGCTGGTAATTGGACAATGATCCGCATATGTCAGATGTTGCATGTGAACGGCTACCTGATTCTCAGGTTGGGTTCGATCTACATGCATGTCCGAAGCAGTACGTGGATGGACTGGAACCTATCTACTAAGATCTACTAAGTATGCATTTACTGGAATAGAGAATTTTTCGACTGGTGCCAAAGCCACCAATGATTTTTCAGGAAATACGATCCAAAGACACGCTTTTTGTTTGCGTTTTCTTCGATCGATTTGAACGGCGCAAGTGTCAAAGTGCCGCAAGGATCAGGGTGTGACGAGGTGACCGCAGCACAGGAAATGGTGTCATGTCCTCCATAAACCACAAGGATAATATCCCTTCAATATCTTTGAATATCTGTGATATTGAAATAGTTCAGTTAGTTCATCTTAGACTATCTTTGATAGCGAAAAAAAAATCAGAAAATCTCCGGTAACTGGTAGTCTATTCCTATTCACTAAGCCAAACTTCAGCCAGTTGAAACTTGGAAAACCGAGGACGTGCCCAGCAGGAAGACTTAAAGGAGACGGGACCATGAAACACATTGATGGTCTCCAACTGATATTTCGTACAGTTGAATTTCTGATTTCTTGTTATTGCGGTTTTGAAGTTGATAGATATATATACACAGATTTATCTATTTATCTATTTATTCAATGTATTTATTCATTTTATCCATTTGTATACATATATAAAGTATCACAACTTAACTTATCCAAATATCTGTGTGGAACCCAGAGGTGATGCGAAAGTCGACTCTCCCAAGACGGCCAAGCTTGGTCGTCAACCAGGAGGACCTCATGGTGCACCATTTCACCCTCTGGTAATGAAACACGGCGTGCTGGAAAATACCCCAGCTATAGTTCAATGATCCCATACGTATATATTTGTTTGTTTGTATGTATGTATGTATGTATGTATGTATGTATGTATGTATGTATGTATGTATGTATGTATGTATGTATGTATGTATGTATGTATATATACACCGTTATATATATATATATATTTATATATTTATACCGTTATAATTATATATATACGGTATATATGTATATACTGTGCATATATATATATATATATATACACATAAGTGGATGCCCATTGATGGCGATTTCCCAGCGACCCATGTTTGATTACGGAGGCTATCCATTGCTGGGTCACAATTTGGCCAACGACCAAAATCGTCAAGCGACCAATAGAGTTTCCCCGCTTTGGAGGCTAACGCAAGAGCACCTCGGAGCGAAGTTTTGCAAAAGCATACGGTGCATACACACGGATAAACTCCTTGGAAGCTGGAAAGCCCTTAAAAGAACTCACCATGTTTGGATCGATGTTACATCCGTCTGGGTCAAACCCCGGTACCCCTTCTGTTCGCATCAAAATAACTTGAATTTTATGGATGTTCATCCCCTCAAATATGGATCACAAAGCCAAACCCTCCATGGGTTCTGCATCATATCACCATCTATTTTCCCCGACATCTTGCTGGAATCATCCTGAGCATCATCAATCAGATCATGCAAATATCATTCAATCAGATCATGAGAAATCTATGTTACAAATATTGTCAAATTACTTTACTTCGTGTGATCCCCACCATGACATTTATACATTTTGTTACTGGCAAATCTTCTGGCATTCTATCTGACATATCTTCTGGCATTCGATCTGGCATTCTATCTGGCATATCTTCTGGCATTCTACCTGGCATATCTTCTGGCATATGTTCTGGCATATCTTCTGGCATTCTATCTGGCAAACATTCTGGCAAACATTCTGGCACTTTCTCTGGCATATCTTCTGGCATTCTATCTGACATTTTATCTGGCATTCTATCTGGCATACCTTCTGGCATTCTCTCTGGCATATCTTCTAACATTTTCTCTGGCATATCTTCTGGCATTCTATCTGGCATATCTTCTCGCATTCTATCTGACATTCTATCTGGCATATCTTCTGGCATTCTATCTGGCCGTTGAGGTCCAGCGGTGCACACTGAGCTGGGCAGGTCCCTGGTTGAGGTCCAGCAGTGCACACTGAGCTGGGAAGGTCCCAGGTTGAGGTCCAGCGGGCTGGGCAGGTCCCAGGTTGAGGTCCAGCGGTGCGCACTGAGCTGGGAAGGTCCCAGGTTGAGGTCCAGCAGTGCGCACTGAGCTCGGAAGTTGGCGAAGAGCTTGGCGAAGAGTTGGCAAGGCGGAAGTGGAGGTGGAAGTTGATGCAGACATGGTCGAGGAGAAACTGGAGGAGGAGGCGGAGGAGGAGGAGCAGGAGGACGAGCTAGCCGAGGAGGAGGAGGAGGAGGAGCAAAAAAAACAACTCTGATAAAATCTAACAACCCTCACCTGGCAGGTGGGGAATTACATCAAAGATCATCAATTCATGATACATAAATGTCAAACAGTGAAAAAAAAATACATTTGAATAAAATATATTATTCAACAAGTATCTTAGATCACCTTCAAATCCCAATTTCTTGCAGTATCTCCATAAGTCGCCACGCCCCAACGTCGGCACGGGGCACTGGGGCTTTCCAAGTCGGTGATGAGAGGCTGCATGTCTCGACCGTCCTGAAACACGGCCCCGGCCGTCGCCCGCAGAGGGGATGAAGTCTCGTCACTTTCGTTGGAGTTTTTTTGAACGGGGACATGGGATGACATGGGGGCGAGTAATAAATCATGGGATAGAAGAGCCTGATATTTTCTGGTTGGTGGTATACCTACCCCTCTGAAAAATATCACTCAGATTGGATCATCATCCCAACTATTGGGGCAAATAAAAAATGTTCCAAACCACCAGTTTTCATGGGGGCTCACTGAATATTAATCATAGCTCATGGCTGATGAATTGCTCACAATCCTAGCTGATTCTCCTGAGAGAGAATGCAGAGGATTGTGATGATTGTGATGATCTGGTTCAATTAGATCATGTGTTTGGGAAACCTTTGATTGTAGCTCCAAGTGGCTCCCCAATTTTTGAATAGACATACCCCAGCCGCTCCCAGTCGCTTGGGATAGGAGACCCAGACGGTTTCATGGGGATTGAATCATCATTTTAATTAAGGTTTTGTGGGGACACAAGGGCAAATATCATGGGATATAAATGATATAATGAGATTGCCATGAAAACATCTTCAATGGGATAAAACGTGATGATTCGATAAGCAGTAAATGGTAGATTTCATGGGAATGTATTGATATTTTCATGGGAACATCTTGACGATTCTTACTCATCGGGATATCATCGGATATTTCCTGGGATTTTAAGCATCAAAGAAATGGGGAGCCAATTGACAAATGATGCTTGGTCGATGACTTTTTCAGGGGAAAAAACAGTACTGCCCAAGAATTGGGAGTCCTCATGAAAAACCGACCATCATTTATTATCATATCTGATCCCATAGGCTTTTGAGGTTGCTCAGAGAGAAAAATCCAAAGAAAATTCGAGTGAAACTGACGGTTTACAGTTTTTAAGTTGGAACTTGGCTTCTCGAGGGCGGCTGGGCGCCCAAGTTGAAGTGGATTCGGCTGAAAAGGAAGAGCTCTATTTCAAAGTGGAAGCTGAAATCTTACGAAGAATCTCAAGAAACGTGATCTACATCGACAATTTCAAGAGATGTAGAGATATCGCCCACTTTTCCAGCGCTGTACTCCCCCTGTCCAGGTTGGCCCGGTAGATGGCGTTGGTCCCAAAGTTGGTCCAGTAGAGCTTCCCGCGCGCCGTGTCCACCACCAGACTTGTGGAGTTCTTGCCGTAAGGAGCCTGGGAGTTGGCCACCAGTCGGTCACCGTCGCAATGTGGGGAAAACAAGATGTGCAACGTGATTTATGACTAGGTGATACTAGGTGACTAGGCAAATTCTGGCAAAGTCTGTGATTTTTTGGTCATACTTCGATGAGTTGATACACCAACTTATGACTGCGGAGGCTCACATTGTAAACCATGGGATGATGGGATCGAAAGCCCCTGGTGTCTGGGATTACCGATACCTGGGTTTGTACGCACTATCATTGCCAAGCAGTTGTGATCCATTGGATAATCCCCTGAATCATGACCAATGACCAACCAGAAATAGAAGGATCCCTTGATGTTCTCGTTGAAGATGTCTGAGTAAACTGGACGCTTCGTAGCTTAATGGGTGAATTGATTGCCTCCAAGGCCATGATCTTGACAGACAATGCCAGATCCATCCCCTATTTCTGGTAGATTATCTAATTCATGGATCTATTAAAAGAATGACTAAGCAAAATCCAAGTTCACTTGCAGGTCACTTCTACACTTCTGTTTCATTTAATTCACCCAATAGCCCCTTGCAGGTGATGGCCAAGCAAAAGTGCCCAAGCATCTCCTAAGCTGCAGGTCATGTGGTGCGTGTGTATATCTTTTGTGTATTCTATAATATGATATGCATATATATATATATATATATGTTCACATACATACATATACAGCTATATAATTATGCATGTCTAAATATATATATATATGTATACAGTTTATATACATATGATTGTATTACATACATATCATGTGTATATATTATGCACTCATAGATATATCATATATATATATATATGTATATACCTGTAGGTGTTACGTGCATCTAAATCATAGATGTATGCAGTTTTTGGCAAAGCCCGAAAAGCATAGAAAAGTATAAAATCCTACTAAAGTGAGGTGATGATTTACTCTTCCATCACCCTTAAATTCCTGCCATTGGACCATTGAACCCAGGTACGATCACTTCGTTGGACCCACCCGAAGTGCTCAGCTTGTGAATCTTCCGCGTGCCAAAGTCGCCCCAATAGACCTGCCATGTAGCATGGGGCTGAAGGGTCAAGATCTTTAAGTGCTCCTCAAAAAAAACTGTCCTGGAAAGTTTTGAAAATTGGGGGGGAAAAACTCTCTCAATATGTATGTATCTATGTGTATATATATACATATATATAAGCTATAGATATGTATATATGTATGCATATATATATGTGCATATATACAAATGAATTTTCAAATATATATATATATATATTTGTATATATATATATATTTGTATATAGGCATATATATATATTTGTGTATATGTACATATATGTGTGTATGTGTGTACGTGTGTATGTATATCTATATCTACATGTATGTATGCATGCATGCATGCATGTATGTATGTATGTATAAATATATATATATATTGGATGGTCATTGTAGATAGCGATGGTCATATTGGATATATCTATATTTTCAGCGATTGATAGATATTTTGGGCGCATATGATAGGATCATATGGGTAAAGAAAACTATGAACAAATTTAAATGGAAATGAAATGAACTACACATAGTTTCGTCTCGAATGGCGCTGTCAAGAATTTGTAATTGCCACTATCAGAATTTAGTTGTGACAGTTTCAATAGAGTTCTTTAGACACAAACAATGACAATGCTGAACACCAAACATGTTTGTTACAAACCACGGATTCAAATGTTCGCCACGGTTGGTTCATCTTCGGATTCGACTTGCCATTGGTCAATTCCAATTTCCAGGTCAGTACCTTTGCTTCGGAATCTCATCCGGTGAGGGCTCACAGTCGCTGAGGATATATTAGATCTAATAAGATTCATGTCTATCTGATATTATTTCTAATAATATATCTGATATTTATATCCAATATTTAAATAATATATATATATATTAGGATCCGCCACAGATCCGCATGACCTGTCCATCGCCCACCGCCACACTGTTGGGGCTCTGCAAATTTTTCACCAAGGCCTGCAACAGATCCCTCCGCGGATCCGCGAAAAAAGGAACTGGGAATCCATGGTTTGTCATTGTCAATATCTAAGATAGGATAGTTTTATATATAATATTAGATATAAATATCGGATATGTGTATAAATAAATAAATATATATATTACAATGTGTGAATATATATTAAACAATATACATATATATATATTATACTATACAATATGTATGTATATATATAGCATATACATATTTATAAATCTAGGTGAACCAAGGATGGTTACCAATTCTTTCATTTCACTTCGTAGGATGCCACCATGAAGCCCAGAACGCCAAGGTACCAATCCATTCCAAAAATTGTACCAAAGATGCCACAGGAATCGACCAAGTTCTACGTTTTCTGGACAAAACCGAGCGCGAGGATCCCCCACCGAAAGCATCTTATCTTTTTTTTGGAAATTCAGCAACTTGGACTTATAAAAATGTGAGAAAAACAAAAAAATACAGTACGCTTCATCAAGGCCGACGCACGGTGATTGCACTCCATCCTACTGCTACATGGATCGACACAGGAATCGCAACTAGTTCAGAACCATTTCATGTATATTATATATATATATTGTATATATACATAGGGAGAGAGAGAGAGAGATACGACACATCTGTATGTCTGTCTGTCTGTCTGTCTGTCTGTCTGTCTGTCTGTCTGTCTGTCTGTCTGTCTGTCTGTCTGTCTGTCTGTCTGTCTGTCTGTCTGTCTGTCTGTCTGTCTGTCTCTGTGTGTGTATGTATGTATGTATGTATGCATGTATGTATGTATGTGATGTGATGTGATGTGATGTGACGTGACGTGACGTGACGTGACGTGACGTGACGTGACGTGACGTGACGTGACGTGACGTGACGTGACGTGACGTGACGTGACGTGACGTGACGTGATGTGACGTGACGTGACGTGACGTGATGATGACGTGATGTGATGTGAGGTGACGTGACGTGACGTGACGTGATGTGACGTGACGTGACGTGACGTGATGTGACGTGATGTGATGTGAGGTGACGTGACGTGACGTGACGTGATGTGATGTGATGTGATATAGATTAGGTATTGTCACGGTATTGTCCGGCTACCGACTCAGATTCTCCTAATATCCTGGTGCCTTGGCTTCGCCCCCCGGCTCCGCGACGCAGATTTGTTCTGAGCGGTGAGGAATCATCATCTGGTTGGTGGTTGACCTACCCCTCTGAAAAATATGAGTTCGTCCGTTGGGATTATTATTCCCAATATTATTCCCAATATATGGGAAAATAAAAAATGTTCCAAACCACCAAACAGTCATCTATACATAGCGTTTTCCGCCATGCTTGGTTACTGGAGGGTATACTTGCACTATCTTATCATTTGGCTTGTCCAAGAATAAGGTGCTTAAAAGAAATATGGCATGACTTACCCTCTAGTAAATCAACAGTTCGACCCTTGTAAGGGCTGGGGTTGGAAGAGATTAAGTATAATGATCCAGAATCAATTGGATAATGGGAGAATAATGGGATAGACGGATAAACCATGAAATTTCAGAAGTTGCTAGTTCCATATGTTACTTCTATCGGATAATAATGGGATAATGGTGGGATAAACTATCAAATGTGATGATCCCTGAGTTTATTAATGGATTAACATCTCATGGTAGTCCCATGATGTCTTATTGTGAGATAATGGTAGTTGAATAGGTAATGAATGGGATAAGAATAGGCGAAACCATGGAGAAAATTGTGTTTTATATGGCTTAATGATTTAATGGTGTACAATAGCCATAATCATTGAATATGGTGTGTTTAATATGGTTCTATATATGGTTTAAGAGGGATCATATCATCATTGGGATAATGATCTGGGATAATAACAGCGTTCTCTGTTTATTTACCCTTCGGTTTTTTCACACATCGCTGGCTGGGACATCCCCAGCAGGGATAAGTACCCTCTGGTTATGACTAACAGTTCGCCATGGAAAATCCCTTATAAATGGTGGTTTATAGCTGGGAAAATAATCTATAAATGGATATAAATGGGCCATGGCTTCCATGGCGAACTGTTAAATAACCAGAGGGTAAATCCAGTACCCTCTGGTAAACGTTAACAGTTTGCAAAGTGGAAAATCGCCATGTTTCATGGGTAAACTCACTATTTCTATGGCCGTAGCTTCAATAGCAATTTTGACATAACCAGAGGATATTGAGGAGATATCCAGCAGGCATTCCACTGCCAGGTGTTTTGTATCTGCCATGGTCAAAACCGTGGCTTTTTGTTTGGGGGATGATGTGATCCCACAATGGGAATCCAAACATAATGGGTATGTAAATCCCGATTCTTGGATGAATATAAAATATGGGTATGACTCGTATGGCCATGGCACACATGTTCTGGAAAAATGTAAGCCACATGAAATTATACAAGCGCGTTGGCCCAAGACACCGACAAGTGGGGGACCAGTGGCGAGGCAAGGAGACGCAAGTTTTCATGTAGGCCACGGGTCAAAACCATGGCAGAAACCCGATAGCCTGGTTGAAAACATCATTCTATAGCTGCTACTTACAAATCCTCCCAGGTCTTCAGTTGCTTTATGTCATATCTTCATGTCGTAAAAACTCCCCCATATCAACCACCCCTTTTTATGACATGAATCTGTTGGTAGGATGGAAAATCATCCCTTTTTCGGTAAATCAACTATTTCTATGGCCCTGTTCTTTTTCGCACCACGATATCTTGATTGGTGAAACTCCATCGCACCACGATGCGGCTCCAAGTAGCTGAGTGATAGATCCGGCCAGAGAATCCGGGGGCCATCTAACGTGAGGCTGCTCCCAGTGGGAGCCGTCAAACCTGCCGCGAATGGGCGATGATAAATCCGACCCCCGATGGCCCAATGGGTGATACATGGTGATACTGTGGATGGTTGCGAGTTATCCTGCACCAGGCAGGGTAACTAGTGGGTAACATCATTCACTGTAAATCATGGGATTGTGGAGTTTGCCTATCCAATGGGAGCTACTCCACCGACCATTCAATTTGGGAGCCAATTTCGAAATAGCCATATGAGACTATTGACCAACAAAAACATAGAATTCGCTTTGATTGTTGTGAAAGCATTTGACTGAAGCAGAATCATCCCCACTAAACCTGGTACAACCGTAGAACCTCATTTGTTCAGGGGTTTGGGCATTGGTAGGTCAAAAATTGCGCACTGCGCGTAGCAAAATTCCTTTCAACTGTGCTTAGTCTAGCTTGAAGTTATGAGAACTCATGACACCTGGGGATGTTCTTGCAGCATCTTGCACCTTCAGCCGAAAGCCAGACGAGGGTGTTGGAAAACCTCAAATTTGAAAACCATGATGATTGGATAGGGAAGGCTACAGTGACGAACAGGACATTCACAACCAGAGTCTAAGCCACGTATATGACAACAGCGTCTTACAATCTTTAGATTTGGATTCGTCTCAAGTTGTGTATCTAAAGTTCATGTATGGCATTTCAAGCAGGGAATGATGAAAATTTTACCCAAGGATTTGGGGGTACCCTACTGACAGAGCATCATTGATATGCCTCTTTGTCTTCAACCCTGCAACAGCGCTTAGGTGGCAAGTTTTTGGATTCGACGCTGGCACTCTTTGATTTTGGGCGCTTGCCCTTGAAATACAGCAGGTGCCCAAAGGAATCGGACACCGAAATCTGAGGTCTTAAGCAGCTTGGAGGAAAGCAAAGGTGTCAATCTGTTCGCAGTCGCACGCAACCCTTCTATGAGTCTCCTGTATCTACAGGGTGAGGTTTCACTTGTGTATAAGCTGTATCAGTCCTATTAAATTTAGACACCGCCCTAAGAATGATGGTTTTGGCACTGGGAGTGCATTTTTGGATCCACTCCACACTGCTCGGAAAAATTATGAGAAAGGTGGTTTAGACCTCCCAAATGAACCACAATGAATTGACAGGTTGGAAGTATTGGAGGTCGCAGTACGAGTATTGTTGCTTGGTGTTTCAAGTGGTTTTTAACTGCAATGACTAGGATTTATGATGGATATATCTATGATTGAATTTGTTTGTAGACAACCAAACATAAGTATAAGTGCGATACCTTCGAAGGCCCACTTTGTATCGAAATAAGAGTGCCCGGAGGTTCAAAAATCATTGGTGTTCATGGGAAGGGGGTTCCCTACATGAAGAGCTGGTGACCGACATGAGTGTTTGATTGATCCAATCGCTGATTCACTGAATCAGATTGAACGGTGCAAGCGCTGAATGGGCCACTGAAGTCACTGAAGGCTACATGATGGAAGGCTGAATGTCTCCGCCAATGAATGAATGACTGTTTGGGCTCTCTGAGCTATCTCCTCAACTACCTCTCCTTTAGTGCCTTTGAGGAGGCTCCTTTCTACTCACTGGCCCATCAAGGGCACCAATCCAGCCCCGCCAAAAAAAAATACACCGGCAAGAGACCCCAAACAGTGTGGAGGGTAGGAAATCACTGTACCAAATACAAGCAACAGTAACTATGGAACAGTAGGAGATGAGGTTAGACATTGCTGCAACTGCAGGAACAGGACCTTGTATGTAGATCTAAATAGAGGAGCTCACAAGATCTTGATGCACAACTTCCTATGAGCATCCCAGAAGAACTATCATACAAGCACCAACGCAGAGGATTTCCAGATCTTGATGCACGGACCTCTTGAGGAGGATGTCAATTTCTTCTCACAAGGACCTGTGCCAGATCATATAAGGACAGCGGGAGGATTTCAACAGGACCTCTTCAAGAGTTTCTCACAAAGACCTGTACAAAATCAAGCAAAGGCCTCTGACAGCATTTCACTAGGATCTGCACAAGGTGTTCGCACGAGAAATTGTAAAAGACCTTGAGAAAGATCTTCATGCCAGGACCCAGATCTTCTCACAACAAGGCAGCACTTCACTAGGATCTCAACAAGATCTTCTCAAAAGGACCTGTACAAGATCATGGAAGGACCTCTTTTGTAGATGATTTCAGCAGGATGTCCACAAGATCTTCTCAGAAGGACCTGTACAAGAAAGAACTTCACCCGGATCTCTACAAGATCATCGCATAAGGAGCTGTGCAAGATCATGCCGGGACCTCTCGGAGAGGAGTCCAGCAGGATCTCCACAAGGTCTTCTCACAAGGGCCTTCACAAGATCACGCAAGAACCTCTTAGAAAGGACTACATCAGGATCTCCACAAGAGCTTCTCAGAAGGACAACCGTTTTGTGCGAGCCTGCGCAATCGAAATGCACATGGACATGTCACAAGAGCCATTTCATGCGAGAATTTACAGGTAAAATGCCGCAGACCAGACGTTAGCCGCACGTTTTGTGCGAGCCTGCGGTCGAAATGCACATGGACATGTCACAAGAGCCCATTTTATCCGGAAATTTATGGGGAAAAATGCCGGACAACGGATGGAGCACCCTGATCAAGCACTGTCCTTAACTCCTACCGTTTCAAACCCCTCAGTGTGAACACAGTGTTTGAGGGAAAGAAAACGTCCATCCAATGGTTTAAAAGCTTCATTTTCCCTGGTAAACGTCGCTTTTGGGGTGTATACTCTCTACCTCGTTGTCACACCGAAGATGAAGGAAGTAGCTCTTGCGTTTCCTCCACTGCCACTTGGTCTGAATTTGCTGAGTCGATGACCCCAAGAAAAATTCAACAAATACCGTAACCCAAAATTAAAGGACCGGATAACCCCACATGTTACCAACTTCTTTAGACTTAGAATGACCATAGAAGAGCAAGAAGGGAAGAGGAAGTATAAGAGTGATGGAGCGGTGATGGTGGGTGAGTTTGTGTGTATGTATGTATGTTCATGTACAGTGAGTGAGTGAGAGTGTGAGTGAGTGATGTGAGTGTGGTGTGTGTGAGTGAGGGATGTGAGAGTGAGTGAAGTGAGTGAAGTGAAGTGAAGTGAAGTGAAGTGAAGTGAAGTGAAGTGAAGTGAAGTGAAGTGAAGTGAAGTGAAGTGAAGTGAAGTGAAGTGAAGTGAAGTGAAGTGAAGTGAAGTGAAGTGAGTGAGTGGGTGAGTGAGTGAGTGAGTGCGGTAGGTGAGGTAGGTGGTGAGGTAGGTGGTGAGGTAGGGGAGGTAGGTGAGGTAGGTGAGGTAGGTGAGGTAGGTGAGGTAGGTGAGTGAGTGAGTGAGTGAGTGAATGTGAGTGAGTGTGAGTGAGTGCACATTGTCCCACGCCTGCCACGCAAAAGAGGCGGAGACCAAGGGACGCCAGGGCGTACATCCGACCCCTTGGCAGTGCACATGGTCCCACGCCTGCCACGCAAACGAGGCGGAGACCAAGGGACGCCAGGGCGTACATCCGACCCCTTGGCGGTCCACATTGTCCCACGCCTGCCACGCAAACGAGGCGGAGACCAAGGGACGCCAGGGCGTACATCCGACCCCTTGGCGGTGCACATTGTCCCACGCCTGCCACGCAAAAGAGGCGGAGACCCAAGGGACGCCAGGGCGTACGTCCGACCCCTTGGCAGTGCACATTGTCCCACGCCTGCCACGCCACGAGGCGGAGACCAAGGGACGCCAGGGCGTACATCCGACCCCTTGGCGGTGCACCTTGTCCCCCGCCTGCCACTCAAACGGGGCGAGAACAAGGGACGCCAGGGCGTACATCCGACCCCTTGGCAGTGCACCTTGTCCCACGCCTGCCACGCAAAAGAGGCGGAGACCCAAGGGACGCCAGGGCGTACATCCGACCCCTTGGCAGTGCACGTTGATGTACGCCTGCCACGCAAAAGCGGCGGAGCCCCAAGGGACGCCAGAGCGTACATCTGACCCCTTGGCAGTGCACATTGTCCCACGCCTGCCACGCAAAAGAGGCGGAGCCCGAGGGACGCCAGGGCGTACATCCGACCCCGTGGCAGTGCACATTGTCCCACGCCTGCCACGCAAAAGAGGCGGAGCCCGAGGGACGCCAGGGCGTACATCCGACCCTTGGCAGTGCACATTGTCCCACGCCTGCCACGCAAAAGAGGCGGAGCCCGAGGGACGCCAGGGCGTACATCCGACCCCTTGGCAGTGCACATTGTCCCACGCCTGCTACGCAAAAGAGGCGGAGCCCGAGGGACGCCAGGGCGTACATCCGACCCCTTGGCAGTGCACATTGTCCCACGCCTGCCACGCAAAAGAGGCGGAGACCCAAGGGACGCCAGGGCGTACATCCGACCCCTTGGCAGTGCAGATTGTGCCACGCCTGCCACGCAAAAGAAGCGGAGACCCAAGGGACGCCAGGGCGTACATTACATCCGACCCCTTGGCAGTGCAGATTCAGATTGTGCCACGCCTGCCACGCAAAAGAGGCGGAGACCCAAGGGACGCCAGGGCGTACATCCGACCCCTTGGCATTGCAGATTGTGCCACGCCTGCCACGCAAAGAGGCGGAGACCCAAGGGACGCCAGGGCGTACATCCGACCCCTTGGCAGTGCAGATTGTCCCACGCCTGCCATGCAAACGAGGCGGAGACCCAAGGGACGCCAGGGCGTAC